TAATGCAGAAGAATATCATGAATACAGACTCATTTCTAAAGAAACGATTTGTATTGATAAATGTGACCTGCCTGCAATTTCTTGATCACACCAAATCCACTTAGAAATACTCTTCAAGTGGACAGAGAGAGAGAGGGAAAAAGACTTGCAAAAAACGAAATCCTGCATAAATTCAATCTTAGGGACGTTCTGGTTAAACTTTGAATTCATTTAATTTATTCGGATTATAAACTTTTAGAACCATCTTCATCTTTTGATCAACATCTAAAGTTGTGGCTGCCAAATCAAAATACTTTTGATTAGGCCAATTCTAGTCAGTACTTCCAAGTTTACACTAACTTATCTTGTCCCGAAACCCTAATGACGAACGAAAAATAAGTAAGGTAGTCGATTATCATAGCAAATATAACTTTGCTTCATCTACAATTCCACGAAAGAATATATGGGAAAATGCCTGAGTTTCCTTGAAATTCACGACTGCCCTGTGACCCAAAAGCCCTCGTGGTAATGTGGCGTAGTGGTTAACATGCCGAGATTACACGCTGCGTTGTTTTGGTTCGACTCCCACTAGGCGTGTTGATAAGACTTAGGCAAGGTCAAAACTGCCGTCTAACCTAGATAGGAACATCTTTTTGGAAGACAAGGCTGTGTGAAAGTAAATGGAAACGTCAGTTATATTCATATGATTTTGGGAAAATACAAATGCCAGTCCTTCATCACTTTAAACGCATAGATCTTTAATATAATAGTCTCATTAGTCGGGTGTATCATTGATGAACGAGCCAGCTAATTAATTTTTGTAAGCTTTCTGAGGATTATATAGTAGCGCAATCAAAAGATGCGATTCAAGGCCTAAAGGAAGTACGAAGAGTACAAAATATTCAATAAGCATCGATGATGACTTCATCTGTCTTAGGCGCAACAAGTTGTATCTGTAAGAATTTATATCAACTTGAGAAAGATGAAGACTTGGAAATTTGAATAACAAAATGTGATAATATGCTGGGAGATGTTTCATATCGAATGATGAAATAAGGCTTTGTTACGGCTTTATTCTATCCCAATCCATTATTTCGCATAGCTAAGTTATCCTAAGGTATTTCATAATAATGACTACTTGTGAGCATGGCCAGACCTCCGACGGAATATCTGATCAATCAAATAGTTATGACTAATTAGAATCCTAGATTAAATAAAGCCGTATGAACCCGAGGAAAATATATGAATCGAAACAAACACCTGTGATAGCTGCAGTCTGCTTAGTAAACGACATGTAATTTTACATATGACAATTTGAAATGGAGAAATCACACAGAAAAACACCTTTATATGCCATTAATAAAAAACACTAAATAAGGTGGGTCTAAAAGTAATACAATGATCGTAAGGACTAGTACCCTTACTAACAGTATTTTACCCAAACTGAATAGTGAGCGACTAGTCTTAGAAGAAAAATTAATTTTGGTGTTACAAAAAATGAGCTATTTAAGATCCTATAGGCGAGAGTATAAAAGTGACAAAAGGAAATATCCAAGCTATTTTAATGTGTTAACCTAAGAACTAAGTCGTAGATATTGAGACCAAGATGGTTTGACCTGCTGTTTGGTCGCAATCTCCTTTAGATTCATAGTGTTGTTTCGAACTTATTTTCGAAACTTGGTCGGAGCGTTAGGGAGACCTTGTGGAGCGTACCTAGTCCCGTGTCCTCTGCCATAGTATTCGTGAGTTCTAGTATTGTACCATTGATATTGGGTGCATTCCCAAGCGTTTCGCCGGCATTGTAAGCACAGAGTTATAACTTATTGAGGTGACAAGTGGAGGCCAATGAAGGCCTTGATCAATTTTCTGTTCAACCGTTGTGGCATCACTGGTCGCCCCTATTTTTTTGTTCTGTCCTCTAGTGTCGCATCTATTTCTCTCAACCCCACTTGATATAGTCCATCCACTTATCCACACAATTCTGTGCTGTCGTTTCCTCCAATGTCGCCTAAGAGTGTTTCGCTACTGGTTGGTTTAGTAGAGCGTAATGATCTCCACCACCTGTACCGTCTGCAGGGCTCCTAACCTACATTCTGCCCACCTATTTTTTTCTATGGATAGGAAGATTCCCAGGCATCATCAACTCTGAATCCTCGAATATGGCGTAATCGAGGACGGGAATGGAAGGCTCTTAGGCAGCCAGACAGTGATTTTGATGTTTGTCAGCGGCCAATTGACAAGCGGGTAGGAAAAAAAGGGGGGCAGAATTTAGGTTAGGAGCCTTACAAAAGGCATCTGGTATCGGATGGTGGTGAAGATTACGCTTCACGAAACCTACTTGTAGCGACACACTCTTAGGCGACATTGGAGGAAACGAGAGCACAGAATTGTGTAAATAAGTGGAGGGGCCATATGAAGTGGGGTTGAGAGAAAGAGATGCGACACTAGAGGGCAGAACAAAAAATATGGGCGAGGAGTGATGTCACAAAGGTTGAACAGCAAATTGGTCAAGA